ATGTTAGCTGTTTGGAATCAGTGTGTCAGGAACTATTTTTAAAATTGGGACTAACAGATTGTAGAAGAAGAAAAGTTCTTATTGGATAAAATAGAAGTTGAGGACGACTTGAATAAAGACTTTAAAATGGACTTTAAAGAAATGCCAGATTATAAGAAAGACATATTGTAGAAGAAGAAAAGTTCTTATTGGATAAAATAGAAGTTGAGGACGACTTGAATAAAGACTTTAAAATGGACTTTAAAGAAATGCCAGATTATAAGAAAGACATATTGTAGAAGAAGAAAAGTTCTTATTGGATAAAATAGAAGTTGAGGACGACTTGAATAAAGACTTTAAAATGGACTTTAAAGAAATGCCAGATTATAAGAAAGACATGGAAGATATGGAAAAAGATGCTGTGGATCTGAAGATGGGCTGAAAGTTGCTTGATTATGAAAATGATATGGAGAAGGAAGCTGGAATGGATCAGAAGAGTGACTGAGAGTTATCTGGACCCACCGAAGGAAAACGTCAAATCTCTAAAACCTTTTCCGAAAATAGGGAGAGAATGATAAGATGATATTGATAAAGAAAGAATGATATTATTTGGAGTTTTATTTGGAGAAGAGACTGAAGATTGAGCCTTCCAAAGAGAAAAGAATTCAAAGTGAAACTATCAGATCAGGATTAAATTGTCTATGTTTTGGTCTTGGATCGTTAATACTGAATTTTCTTTTTCTGACCAGGACTGTAAGACAATGATTTTTATACCTGTAAAAGTGATTTATTTGGTCTAGTTTAAAACACATATGTTATTATTATTATTGGTCTTTTGTATGCTTAAGGGGAGAGATGTTTTAGGTTTTACTTCTTAGAAAAATTTAGAAGTTAAAATGTAAAATTAACTTATTCGTTTAAGCTTAAAATATATAGTTTATTATCACTTGGACTCTTAATGCTTTTGCTGATTAGATTGATTGTTGAATATTCTTTATAATTTGGTTATTGCTTAGGGATGAGAAAGGGGATGAAGAGGGCTTTTTTTAGTAATATTAGAAAAGGTGTTAAGTTACTCTTAATGCATATACTTGTTTGCAGGAAGGGGGAAGTCACCTTTTATATTTATTTCTTTCTCTTTTGTCTTTCTTTTTTTCTTTTTGTTTCTAGGTTTCTTAGTTTTGTATTAGTTTTTATATATATGTCCCCTCCCCTTTCTAGCCTTGGAGTCACAGCATATATATAAACTTTAATAAAAATATTATATAAAAGAAGACATTTTCACCATATGTGATTGGACTCACTTGAAGAACTATATGTTCATGCCGTAGTTACAGTTCTTTGAGAGAGCTAATATTTTCTTCTCTCATTTATAAATAGGACCATTTGTTCTTTGTTATGGAGTTCCTCAATGGTGGAGATCTAATGTTCCACATACAGGACAAAGGTCGTTTTGATCTTTTCAGAGCTACGTAAGTGCTGACAGCATAACATGGAGTTGGGATTTGGGAGAAGGCAGTTTTAAGAAATATGCAAGTGTTTAGGGTATATAAAGGAGAGAATTAATTATATAAGGGGTATGCTATTTTCTATACCTATATGAAATAATATAGTCTGTTAATCTCAAAGAGTCTTTCTGGATCAAAACAATGGCTTACCTGATCTAATGTTCAGCTATCATAGTGACATACCAGATGTTTCTTCAGAGTTCAGACATAGACATATGCTGAACAATACCATCATTATGAAAAGCTCATATTCTCCAGCAGTTGGTGTTGAGACACATGTTCCTTCTGATCCTGGAGGTAACATTTAGTTATCATAACTATTTGTTTTTGATTCAATTATTTGGCATGCCTAGTGCCATCTTCTAGACAGCTATTGAATATTTTTTTCCATCATGATAATGAAAACCATCGTATAAACATAGCAAAGATAGTGAATGATGGATATTACAACTGTACTCTAGAGTTATGGGGTGATGGAAAAGAAAAGTCCAGAAAAGAGTATCATCTGCTCATTGTACCATGCTCAGAACTATTCTGGAGTAGAGTGGCATAGAAATACCAGTAATAAAAAAATAAATAAAAGGTACAGAAGTAATAAGGAGGAAAAATTGCACAGTATGTTAAACGAATCAATACCTGCTTAGAAATCCCAATGAATGGCTTTGGCAACATCATAGTATCTGGTTTAAAATATTGGAGAACTGTGTAAAAAACAGTTGTTAGATTTTTCTACTGCCTGTTAAACCAAGAAGTTGCAGAGGATGCTTTCCAGAAGCAAACTGCAGTAATAGGGGATTTTAATTAACCTAACATTCTACCAAGCCTGGTCCTTCCAGGACATTCATGTCTTGACTTGCTGACAGCTGTCTTCTTTAGAAGAGTAGGTAAAGAACCAAGAGGATCAGCTATCCTTGATTTGTAACAGTAACAGGAGAGGAAAAGTGATGAAGTAATCAGACTTGTGGTTTTCAAAGGTGCTGAGTATATTCAAACATCCATCTTTGACTTCAAGAAAACAGATTTTTAAAAACTTGGAACAATGATAATTAAGTTTCCATGGCAGGAATAGCTAATGGGAAAAGGAGTTCATGATGGGAATTCGTAAAAATGGAAATACCAAAAGCACAAGTCCAAATAATCTCATTGAGGAAAATAAATGGAAAACAGCAGAAACTACCTGTGCAGCTACACACAAAAAAAGTGAAAAGCTGAGAACAAAAAAAAAACACATATAAGAGATGGAAAGAGTGATACCTCATCACATAGAGTAGCCCAGAATTGTGGAAATAATATCAGAAAGAATAAACCTCAAAATGAGTTGTGGTTGGTGAAGGATACTAAGAACAACTAAAAAGACTTTTCCAAATGTATTCAGTATATTCAAAATAAAAGAGTAAGGAAGCACTGCTTATTGAAGATAACAAATGCTAGCTGTTAAAAAGAAAAGGGAGAACTGTCAACTCCTGCTTTGGCTCAATCTTCTTAAATCTCCAAGGCCAGATGAATTTTATCCTAGGGCATTGACAGAATTTGCTGATGGTCTTGTGGAACCATTAGGTATTACCTTTGAGAATGTCTGGAGTGATGAAGTGCCTGATGACTGGAGGAGAATGCCCCTAGCTTCAAAAAGGGGAAAGTGTAAGCACCTTGAAAATAATGCAGTAATTACCAGCATTTTTTAATTACCCCATTTTTTCAAAAAAATTAGAATGCTTAGTACCGTACATATGGATTGTGGGTAGGTTGTAGACTTACCTTACCTTAAGAAAAATAATCTGACAGAGTATCCTATTACACTACAATTAGCAAGCTAGTTATTTATGGCCTGGAAAGCAGAGGTAGAGTCTCTTAGGTAGACAGCTGGAGTGGTGTAGTGGTTAAGGTGCTGGACTAGGAAGTTCTAGTCCTCCCTTAGGCATGGAAGATAGCTGGGTGACTTTGGGCCAATAACTCTCTCTCAGCTCTAGATTAGGAAGTGAAAAAAAAATTACCTACCAGCCCGCATTGGACCAGTGTGATAGATTACAGTCCATAACCTTCAGTGAAGAGGTCTTCATCCTGCAATGGATTGATTTGGGCTGAAAATAATTTCCAATTCTCTTTGAGCTACTCTAGTGTCATTTGGTATTGCCACATCTATAAGTAAAACTTGCTTTTCTTCAACTACCGTAATTTTTGGTGGCAATCATAATAATAATAGATATGCTGCATAATATGTGGTTTTTTATTTATTTATTTATTATTTATGTAATGTGATTTAGTGTCCTCTTACGTTGCAATTATCAACTAGTTATGTTGGAAATGGCCTGGAAAGCAGATATATTGGGTAGATGTACAACTAGTTTGAAAACCATGTTCAGTTTGCTTATCAACAGATCATCATCAGACAGAGAAGAGTCAAATAATAAAGAGTCACATGGTTCAGTCATGGACTCTGTGGGTTCAACATTGTCTGTTAAATGGATGAGGAGGTGAAGGGAATGCTTGTCGGATACCAAATTGGGTGTGACAGATAGAAGACAGAAATAAAATTCAAATGAGATGAGAATGCAGAGAAAATTATTGCATTCTTTAGAGTCCCAAGAATAAATAAGAATATTGACTGTTGAATCTGCTTAGAAAAAGGTATACTTGTTTCAAATACTGTATATGCATTTCCATGGATATGCATGGAAAAGGAATTTTAAAAAAACATAATTTATTGAATTGTATATGATGAAAAGTTAAGAAAGTTAATGAATGATACAAGGTGAATGAAAGGTCCTGAATGTGGGACAGACAGTTTCTTGGGTGTATCAAGAGTGAATCTTGAGAAACCAGGAGTCCAGAAGAATCACCAGATTAGGACCCTACTTTTTCACAGTGAGAGTAACCCATATAGAGTCAGAATAATTGTGGAGTTGGATGGCTTCTGAATCAACAGCCACACCACCTTGCAGGGATTAAGCCTGAGCCTGTTTCTCCCATCCAGACTGTGACAGGTTCACAGTACTGAATCAAGATTTCCTTTGCATCTTCGGATTAGCCCAACCAAGGGGAAGTACAACTAGTTGTCATCAGCATAATTATGTTATCTCATTCTCTGCTGCAGATATCCTCATACTGGGGTGCCTGAGGGCTCAGCCTTTCCTCCCCCATAACTAATGACTGGAATAGCTTGCTCAGAAAGTAGCCGAACCATTGCAAAATTCCTCACCCTTTCAGGTGACGCAGAAAAATACCATGATCAATAGTATCAAAGGCTGAATAGTATGAAAGTTCAGGTGAGCAGGGAGAGATGTACTTCAGACTTTCAAGATTCTGTAACCTTATAATAAAGGTAGTATTAGTACTCAAGTTTGGTGCTACTTGTCTGGACAACTCCTAAGAGCTGACATCAGTCTTGCAAGTCTGAAAGTACATTTCTCCCCTCTTGCCTTTGCAGTCCAAGAAATGAGGGAGGGTCCCTTCTGAAACATCTGCCATGCCTCCATTGCTTCTGCAGGCTAAGCACCTCTTATCTGGCTGTTGCCTAGTCTCCTGCTGCTGCTGCTGCTGCTCCTCCTCCTGCCTATCAAGGTCATTCCCACAGACCATTACACTGACCATGGAATCCCAAGCTGCTTCCAGCTCCTCCCCAGGGAGGAAAGGTTGAAATCACCCAGCACTAGCAGCCTGGGTGAATCAGCTACCAACTCAGCATGAAATCAAGCAGCAAAGTCAAGGATGCTGTCATGCAGCAGTGAGAGTGGTACATCATCACATCAAGCCCAGCTTCACAAATAAGACTTCCATCTGGTGGCCATTGAGTCTCCCAGAGGATTAACACTGCTGTCCCCTCCCCTTTCTAGCCTTGGGGTCACAGCATCTGAAACCCCGAATCACAAATTTCAGACAGAGCTCTGTTTTGTCCACACCACCAGGAGAGTTTGAAAAGAAGATAAAGTGGAATTGTGCTGGTTTTTATGTTTGTTACTGTGATTATTTGTAAGCCAGTCAGGGTTATGGTACATAAGATGAGTAGCTATATAAATCTTTTAAATAATGACTAAACAAACAAGGGCAAGGTGGATGCTCAGCAGACTAGAAACTGAGAACTAAGTCATGTGAAGAGAGATGGGAGGAACTGGGAATGTTTAGTCTTGCTATCTGAAAGTTCACCCAGAAGTAGGTCAAGGTCTGTTGTCTCTCATTCCAGAGTGAGGACCCAGAATGGATGTAAGTTACCCAAAGGCAGGTTCTGGTTGAAGAATTTCCTCAAAGCAATAGCTGTTCAGCAGTGGATTCCCCTTCACTGAATATGTTCAAGCAGAGGCTGGACTGTCATCTGTCAAGATGCTTTTAATCTGGATTCCTGCACTGAACTCAGAGTGGAACTCAGTGGCCTAAATGGCATCTTCCAACTCTGTGATTTAATGTCTCATGTAATTGAATTTCTAAGGGGGTCACATTTGTCATTCGGCACATTTATTGGTATATAAAATACATAATTAGATGGCTATTACAAGCTCTAAATTTCAGGCAAGAGAGTGGGATATATCATGCCTGTCTTTCCATACTTGTGTTAGCATTCAGTGTAGTTTTCTGCCACTTTTCCCAACAGTGCGCTTCAAATGTGCTGTATTATACTGCCTGTAACCCAGTCCAATGGCGTGCTCCCTGTGCATAGAGGAGTTCCACTTAAACACTTCTGGAGAGCTCTTAGGAAAGGCTTAGTGTGTACAAACAAGAAGTGATATTGTGTATGCTTATTGGGACAGAATTAGCAAATAATCTTTGGGAGAGAGCAATTGCCACATTGGACAAAGTCTTGCCTAGACTAAAATGATAGCCTTTGGCTCTTTGTTTTTCAGGAAAGGACAATAAGAAAGAGAGAGGAAGTTGGGGAAAACAATGAAAGCCCATGGGGATGGGGGAGGATTCAACACATTCCATCTAAAAACTGTTTCCAACATTGGCCACCAGCTCACAGTGTTTCTATCAAGGGATAGATCTGGAGATAATATCTACTTAGAAAACAGTAGATATGCACAGCAGTAAAGGACAAGTCAATACAGCTTTAGTGCAATAGGCTTGTATTCCAATGAGCAGGTATAGGCAATAGGTCATTTAACAGTCCAAGGTCAAATAATACACTTACAGATCAATCCAATGTAGCAGCAGTGAAAAAGCAGTAATTCATCTCCAATCATCCCCCAACAACATTGTCCAAGGAGCAGCCTACTAATATATGCAGACTAGCCAATCTCCACCATCCTGGTACATTCCAGTCCCCCTTCTTCACCTGGGATGTGTTACTGCTCTAACAACACACTCCTTAAAGGAACCTTATTCATAATTATCTTAACAGTTTCTTTATGTGGCATTTTCAAAGTACACAAAGCAGAGCAGCTTTTCTCACCTATTGCCCTCCAGATGTGTTGGGCTGGGAATTCTGCAAGGAAAGGTCCCAGCAGGGTTCGGAGCCCTATGTTGGAGAAGCTGAAAGCTAGCTAGGTTGCCCCAAGGAAGGATTTTCACATGGGTAAATCACCTTAAAAGTTCCACCCCATTCTTAAAATGAAGAAGTAGATACTTGATTTGGAATGAGGTTAGAAACATCTGATATCTCTGGGTGCAGTTACAAACTCCCTCTGTAGAGAAAGTGAAGGGGGAAGTACTTGAGATAAAGAATAAAGTAACATTCTAGGGAAGTTGTGTATCTTTGCAAAATCAGCAGAACATTTCCCTTATCAGAAACTAAATGTTCAAGAGAAATTACTGCAGTAGATAAGTTTAAGTCACGGTCAGCTTAAATAGCTTTACTGTACCACAATATCTAAAGAGGCATTGGATCATAATTCACACATATAAAGTGTGTGAATTAGTGTAAGTTATTGCAACAATACATTCTGATGTTTTGACGTGTGTGTGGGGGGGAACGTAACAGAAAAGGAAATTTGGCATGAAGAATATTGGTTTATTTAAAAGAGTTTATACCATCCTTCATTTTCTGATAAAGTAATATATACAATAACCTAATAAAATGGAAAGGAGTTACCTAACGAGGCAAAAAACAGAAATTTAAAAAGTTTTCATTTTTAAAGATGTAAGTGCCTGAACAAACAAATCTCTTGGCTGTTTTCTCTGCCCATGTCTCCTCCCCAGTAATATGTCGTCCTTCATACTGGCTGAGAAGCAACTGCTTCCTCATGACACAGCAGTCTCCCCACTCCCTGAGGACTCAGGTCAGGTGGAAGCGAGTGCTGTCCAGCCACCTCTTTCTTAGCCTTCGTGAGGATGAGAGAGGTGGAGGCTCTCCCCTTTGCTGAGCACCCAAGCGCAGGCTGAGACACCTTGGACTGCCCAGTGGATTTATGTGGAGTAACTCCAGAAGTATTAGGACTGCATCCCTGACCACACACAGTTGTCTACTTGTGCAGAAAAACCAGGTTGGAGTAGAGGTTAGGATGTTGGGCTAGGAGTGGGGAGACTCGGGTCCAAGTCCACATTCAGCCACGGAACCTCCCTGGGTGACTTTGGACCATCACTCAACCTGACCCACCTCACAGGGATATTGCTGTAGGGAAAGATTGGAGGGTATCAGTCTAAGAAGAAAAAGTTGCACAAAGTATCCTCAAGCTTGCGCATCTGCGCTGCTAGTATAAGCTGCAGAAAAAAAATCCACTGGGTTTTACCTATAACGATTGCATGAATTTGAACAGAAGAGAAAGATTGTTGTGAAATCTTCCATCTCACAGGTGCTACTCAGAGGTTCTAAATTCTATGTGTAGTGAAGGAGGGAAGTGCTTTTATTTTGAGAGATTTATTAGAACCAAGATTATTGAAAGAAGGGTTTAAATTATTACCCACAGTTCTGGCAACCTTTCTATATTAGCACAAAGTCTCTAGGGTAGCATTCCTCAATCCCACAGCACTAATTGGCCCTATTTGTTATTATGCAGGCTTTGTTCCTCTCTTTGCAGTGTTGCCTGTTCTTCTCCCCAGCCTGGTATCAATGCATTTGTAAACAGTTCCGTTCTTTTTGTCAGACATATCTGTAACAGGGCTTTTAAAACTGCCAATAGAGTTTACAAAGGAGTTAGTAACAGAGAAGGTTTTATGTAAAATAATGACGTTTACTTAAATACATTATGATTCTAAATAAAGCTTCCAAGTCAGGCCTGGCTGCTGCCATGCTACTTTGGACCTGGGCAAACCTTAATATTTTAAGTTGATTGAGGCATTCCTCACTATTAAGAAATGAAGGCAGCTAAAGCCAGGTTGGTGTAGTAGTTAAGGCCTCAGGCTCACCCAGGAGGCTGTGAGTTCTATTCCTGACTTAGGCACAAAGCCAGCTGGGGGACCTTGGACCAGTCACCCTCTCTCAGCCCTAGGAAGCAGGCAATGGCAAACTACTTCTGAAATCTTGCCAAGAGAACTGCAGGGACTTGTCCAGGCAGACGCCAGGAGACACCAGGAGTCAACACTGACTCAAAGGCAAGAGAGAGAGAGAGAGAGAGAGAGAGAGAGAGAGAGAGAGAGAGAGATTCATTCATTCATTCATTCATTCCTGGAAAAAAATGAAATGACAGTGGTAGATCCCAACGTCTCTCCTTTGCAGGCAATGCAAACTTGTAATTTTTTTTTTATTAGAGAGCCTGGTTTAACTCTTAATTAAAATATGTTCCAAGACAGCCTCTCCCCCTCCGCCCATTCTGTGTTAAACAAAATCTTATTTGTATGTAAGAAGAAAGGACTGCTTTTTAGTTGTGTAAAGTAAAAGGCTTGGATAGGATGGGAACTGAAAATGAGAAACGATTGTCTGGAGCCAGATTAGATGGGAGGGGTTTAATTACTGCAGCATATTAATCGCATGACACAATTGGGGAGACAATTTGAGGAAGCTATGTCAAGCAGATTCTACAATATTAAACTGATGGGGAAAGATTTCTAAAAATGACTGGAAACATAGCTAATATACTATTAAAAGGACATTATTATGTAATTATATGATATAATTAATATAATATACTAATACTTAAGTCCTTGTTGTTTGAAAGTGTTTTTGCTTGATTTCAGATTTTATGGAGCGGAAATACTGTGTGGTTTACAGTTTCTTCATAGTAAAGGCATTATTTATAGGTGAGTGATTTGTTGACCTTAGCAAAAGTCTCATAAAATATTTTAAGTTATGCCTTATTGAGGAATTGGTGGAATCTGTGCTTAATATAATGTGGCATACATCACAAGGAATTGTTTCCCTGTTAAAAATTTGATTCTATTCCAGAGGTGTTAAAAAGGGGCAATTCAGAAAGCCCTTGAGAACAATCTGTAATTATTTTCTTGTGTTTATCTCTTTGGCAAGATGGATAAAGCTCTGTTATTTACATTGCATAGAAGAGTCTTTGTTTCACATTCTTAATTGCCAGGCACTTAAGCCCCAATTGTAACACTTTATCTTCACTTGAGTGGTAAAGGAGATGGATCACATTTCTGCCCACGTTTTGTTAGACTGACCTCCTCTCAAACACACAAATTCAGCTTATAGATCTAGAAAGCTACTTTGCTCTCAGCCTGATTTAATCAAAGAAATCTTGCTGGCTGCTGAAGCTAAAGAAACAGTCATGTTAGGGTTATTTTCTTTTCAAAAATAAGCTGTTGGCTTTTACGTTAAGAACATCTACTTATTCCACCAGGAAAACAGCTGCAGAGTTAAGGTTTTAAGTCTGGGTGGGCAGAGTTTGAAAGATAAAGAGCCATAGCCCTTTGGATTTTCACAGGATGGTAATATCTCCAGGAGTGGCAGGACCAAAGTTTTTCAGCTCTTTTAGATCAGTTTGATTTCAAGATTTTAAGGATGGGAATGCTCCTGAAATTGTCATTTTTCTGCCAGATTTTGATGGTACTATCTCAGGGTGCTACAGAGGTATAAATGGTCTGGGAGCCACAATAGCTAATCCTTTTTCAAGTGGGTGCAGTTATGTAAGATGGATCTTTTAGGTAAATGTTTATTATTTTAATTCTTTGATGGATTTTTTTTTTCATACAGGGATCTCAAATTAGATAATGTGATGCTTGATAAAGAAGGCCATATCAAAATAGCTGACTTTGGGATGTGTAAGGAGAATGTATTTGGAGAGAACAAGGCAACAACTTTCTGTGGTACTCCAGATTATATAGCACCCGAAGTAAGGCATGCACATGTACTGTATACTAGTATTTCAAATACTCATTTGGGTATTTAGAAATCTTTCTCTGTGTGGGCATGATATTATACATTACTTCTATTGCAGATGTAGGTGATTGCAAGCTGCAGAGTGTTTCATTTTTATGTTTCTCAGAGCATAAAAATGGCATCTGCTTTGAAAATATTTGCAGTTGCATTTAGATATAATTTTTTTTTTTTTAACCTGCGTTCAGTCGTTACCAACTCTGCAGTGACTGCTTGGACGAGTCCTTGCAGTTTTCAAGGCAATT